CAGGAGGAGACTGCCAGAGATATGTCCTTTTAATATGTAATGTAATCGGACACGCTAAAGCCAATGGTGCCATAAAAACAAAAGCGCATTACTCTTCTTAACGTCTTATGCTGATTTTCAGTGGAGGCACTGATTTACATCCTGTTTTAAAAAACAATTTTGGTTTTATTTAAGTTCAAATTTTAGAATTGAATTAAAACAGGACGTAAATGCTTTAAAACAGTTGTGAAAAACTGAAACATGATCTCCTCAAAAATTTTCCGAAATGACGCTTTCGCCCTTTCTACAATACACCGAAGATATGGAAAAGTTCGTTTTTCTACATTGGCCCAGCCAGGGATCGAACCTGGGACCTCAGAGATAGCGACATCATGAAAACCGGTGTGCAAGCTACTCAACCACGGAGGTCGTCATTCTTTTCATGAACACTAGACACAGCGTCACAGGTGTCATGGACACACACATAGACAACCACAAATGACACCCAAACTCACGACAGAAATAAATGTAGGCCATATAAATATTCCTCTCGACTCGGGATTCGAACTCGGGACCTTTGCATAGCAGACTAAAACATGAATGCATAATGAAAAAAAAAAGAAATATTTCATGCTTGTTATTTTTAAATGTTCTGTGCTTATCGATTAAAATTCGAATAAATAAAAAATTGATATCAAAATCAATGTTTTGCAATTTTTCAGCCCTGGGATAACACGTAGCATGAGTGGGCCCGTCCTCGATGCAAGATCTATTTCGGCTGGATCTTCAGTGCGTCTCGACCCTTCGGGACAAGGATACTACGATACTTACGCTTCAGCGGGACATTAGACGTACATCATAAAAAATAACAACTATAATTATGCACACTAGTTTATCTTGAGATAAGTGCCAAGAATACACAATCGACAAAATTGAATTGGCATTTTTGCTACTTTGAATAACTTTCTACACATATAATTTAAAAATTATCATTACAAAATTGTTTAACCTAAATTATTGACTATATGACGACTTCGGTAACCAACCGGTTTGCATTGTGAGAAAGTCTTGGGTTCGATTCACAGTAGGACCAATTTGGGAAACCAATTTTTCTAAATTGGTTCTTGTCTGGGTGTTTTCTGTAGTGCTCCGATTCCGTTGCTCTGGTACTCAAAGTCAACGGAATTGAGGTCAGGCGGAACCAAAAAAAAAATTTATTTTGTTTTTGAATTTAATTGTATTAAATTTTTTTATGTTTGATCCATGTTGGTCGATATAAATGATTTATTATTTATTATTATTAATTAGTACATTGTGGGAAACGAAGTTTTGAAATGTACAAATATTTTCGACTATCAACTTACTTTTTCACTGTTAACCGCGGATATTATTATATAAAGGTATATATATAATAAAAGTATTCAGTACTTAATTCTAAGAAGGTTCCGTGAACTACAAGAAGGTTTTGTGTCTTTCAGGTTTGATAGCAATGTTTCTCTTATATTATTCAAAATGCGGTGTGTGTCATATCTTTAGATTAATTTGTGTATTTTCCATTAGTTTCACGAGATTTAAAAATAAGAAAACAGTACGCGAAAGCAAATTCAGTTTATTAATAAAGGTTTTGGTTTTTCACAGTCATTTGATTACAACTCTATTAAGCGATGTTACAAAAAAAAACTGGTAAGAAAGACTTCTAGAAGTAAACCTTAGTTTAGTTGTCTTTAAACTAAATATGTTAGTAACCCGTACAACCGAATTAAAAAATAATAATTGACTTGCAAAATATTTTTTAATAACAAATGAATTTAGTTGACAGTATTTAATTGAGGAAATTTATCAACTGAACTAATCATTACATTTTTTCGAAATTATTAAATGCCTACAAAAACGAATTAATCAACTTCGTAGCTACCAATATGAGATACGACGGTTGGAAAGTACAAAGCAAGTCCAGAAAAATTCTTATTTTCTAACTTATCATAGGTATTGACTGGCAAATGGCAATTAACTTTGACTACCTCCTTACTTATGAGGAAGCTCTAGTCTGTACTGAGGCTTGTTGTAGGTATAACCGCCGCCGCCGGGAGACGGAGATGGTACGGGCTGCGGCACTGGTGCGGGTTGAGGTATTGGTGCAGGTTGCGGCGGGATAATTGGCACTTGAGGAGGAGTCACTATAATCGCGTCGTCGGTGAACCCTACGTCGCGACCAGGGAAGGACTGTCGGAATTGAGAAATTGACTGCTGGTACACTTGGGGTGGTTGGTACACTTGCTGTTGGCGGTAAACTTGCGGCTGCTGCTGATATTGTTGGGCTTGATAAGTTTGTGGGTAATATTGAGGCTGGAATCTTGTTGGTACTCCGTATTGAGTTGACACTTGTGGAGCACCGTATTCAGCTGGCAGTTGTTCTAATCTACCAAACATCTGCCCTAGGAAAGGAAACTTGTTGGTCAGCGTCGCCCATAATCCTGTACCACCGACCTGGTTAGACCCTCCGTTACCCCAGAAGAGACGTTGAGAGGGCTCGGGGATAAAATTAGAACCTACTACGACAGAGTAAGGATCATTGGGCCCAATGTTATAGGGCGCCTGCCTTTCAGGGTAGTAGGCCACTGCGCTACCTGAAGAAGAAGAAATAGCCCATTAATCACACTTTATTTAATTACTGCTAGTTAAAAACAACGTCCAATAACGCAGAAAATTGCGAATATCTTATTTATAAACGCGAGCGTTCATTGACTTGTAGATGCACTGTTATATAAATCAATAAGTCCAATGTGTCATAGCGTTGCACAATATCGACCACACAATCCACCGCACGTACCCACGACACCGCACACCAGAAGAACAGCGCACGCATTCATTTTGGGAAGAGCTCGACTCCGACTGATTGACGAAACTGCCCGTCTTTCCATTTATACCTCCACTATTTGCTCCTAAAGAGGACCTTGAAGTAAAATTCTCGTAACCCAATATTGAAAGTGTGAGGTAATGGTGGTGGCTCACCCAGCGGCAGTGTGGACAATAGGTGCGACATCTAGGTGACTCGTGCGCCGCCCGCCGCCACCGCCCCCAAACCACAGGACGTGCCGAAATCACATGTCCAATTTGTCACGTGTCACTCAAACCGTGTTATTCAGATTTACAACGCACAATATGAATTAGTTAGTAGCTATAACAAGTGAAATCGTCGCGATTGGGATGTTGTTTTAAAAATACACTAAAAATATTTTTCTAAAGTAGAATACCTAATTTATCAAGTTTTTGAATGGCTGTCAAAACATGCGTTGTTTTTAGAAGCTCTTTGAAAAGCGACACACCATATCGGACATGAAAGAGTCATTGCGTAAGGCAAATACAAAAACAGAAAATTATTTCGAGTTGTTGAAATGTTGTTAACCTTTTAAGGGTTTCGATGCATCCCTAAAAAAATGATGTCGCAACTTAAGCCTCGTATTTCTGTACAAATTATTCCGCGGTTACACGCGAGAGCAAATTAATAAAGTAATAAATTAAAAGCTGTATATTGCTCCATTGTATATTTTTTTGTGAAATCGGGAAATACAGCTTGGAATTTATCCTTATGGTTCTTTCAACTCTTGTTGATTATTAATTAAGATTTTAGTATAATTTTTTGCTTTAAATGCTTATTCATATCACGTAGCAGACTTTTATGGATACCCAAAAGCATGAAAAATAAATACATCCTGTATAATCGATAAGGTTTTGTGAAAAATGCACTCAAACGCGTGCGTGTGTGTTTACCCAACATAATCGGCATTATTCATACGATAACGTGTATTTGTCTTCACCAGTTGTCACGGTATTGTCGCAGAAGCGTTTTGCGAAACGTTACTCAACAAAGCTTCACACGATGCCCAAATGAAGACCTCGTATTCCATAGATAAGATTATTTCAAATCGTACACTTTTCTGATTACATTTACGGGGACAAGGACTCTAGTATAGAGTTTTCCTCTACGATAATTAGTCATTTTGTACGGAAATCTAGAACAGTCTAGTTGTTAACATAATCTAGCGCTGACAGTTTTGTAGAGCAGTAATTACACAAAATGTTTAACCAATTGGTAAGGCAACGCAATTTAAATTTTCAACTATGTTTGTTGTTATATAAAGTACAACATTGCTCCTGTCTTATGAACAAGTGTTTATTTTGAAACACTAAGTACCTATACATCACACGTGAAACCAAATACTGAAGTAAATAAAAAATTATGGAATTGAGAACATAATTTGAAAGAAAAATTACTGAATGAAAGCAATAAAATATTCTCGTTTTTACGTGTGCAACTAATTAATATCTATAAATAAAAATACTCGCATTATTCGCAATAACATTCATTTAGTTTTTCTTTTATTTTCAAATTCGTTCGTCGTCGTTTTTTTTTCTCAATCTCATCATTTTTGAGTTACGACTCTTTATGGTTTCATGTGCAATACATTATATTAAAATTTTAAACCTCTGTAACTATGTGTTTACTTAAGAGGTCTAAAAAGAGTTTATCCCAGATACATTGAGCTAGGAATTACTGTAGGTATTTTATTAACCCATCATGCATCCTAGAGACACTCGGTGTCCCTAACGATATTCGTAAATTTTTATAAGTCTTTATTGAATAGATTATATGGCAGCAGCAACGGCCCCCTGAAGACTATCGCGGCTAGGAGTGAATGCCCCTTAATGCGGCATATGCACGGCAGCTGCGCGTTAGAGAGACATCGTGTGGTTCTAGGAGGTTACAGTACCAAAATTGGTACTAATTGGTACTGTCGCAAAGTCAATAGACGGAAGGAGATCAGGCGTTCTGGTTTTTGTCGATATATGTCCGGAAAATGGTCTGATAATGTATGGATTTCATAAACTTAAGTGAACGCGAAAACACATGGACGCCTGACCGTTTTCTGTTTTTTATGAAATACCTTAGTACCTACCTAACAACTGTTATACAATCATGATTACAATCATGAAAACAATATAGCACGAATTAATCCTAAAGTCAGGTCTATTCGTTTCTCTATACGGCATAAGTTCTTATCTCTAAATCTGACCAGCTAAGCGTTTAATTGATTAGTAATATGAAAACAGGCGCGGGCGCAATGGGTCAAGCGTCAACTTGTGTTACCACTGCGCGTGGCGTCCATATTGACAGAGATTTAATGCCTCATAGTCATGATTTTCCCCGTGTTACTTTTTATTTGCTTTGTTACGTAATTTAGAGTTCAGAAGGAAAAGTATGTTTGTTTATTAATAAAGTAAAAAAATTGTTAGTATGTGTGATGATTAAACTTAATATTTAGGGGGTTCAAGTAAGACGTGTTAAAGTTCGTGGCAGTTCTCACGGACGTTAGGGTGGAACAGATGTGATGATAAGGGCAGGTAATTAAATATTTAGTACTAATTTACACTGCGTCATTTAAAACTGTTTAGCAGCAGTAGAGCTCGTTCTGAAAGAGTGCGTCCAGGGAAGTATCGCCACCTTACCTATTTCTGCCGCCAAGCAGTAATGTTAGTATTACTGCGTTCCGGTTTTGAAGGGTAAGAGTGCTGATACAATTACAGGCACATGGAACTTGTCAACTTATATCTCAGGGTGACAGGCGAAGAGGCAGTGCCCCTCAGATCGTTGCGATTTAAAGCTCTGAGCGGCACTGCAACTGTTATGGACAGGCGTGTAGCTTATCATCAGGCGCACGACTCGTTCGTTCCGTCACTTGATATTATAAAAAAAAATAGTTCACATATTCATAAAATACGAGTGGGGTGGGCCTCGGTCTGGTTTAGATAACAGGGTGTGCTTATGCTGCGGAACGCACCATACCAGGAGCTCGACCAGCCAGCAGTAACGAACGGTATGTTCAATAAATAAAACAAATGTAGAGTTTAACAATTGAAATATCATATTATTCAGCGTCTGATAAATTTAAAATAAAGTTTCAACGTCCTACATAAAGATTCACATACTTTGAGAAATATTTGCACAATTCTTATGTAGACAATAATGTAAGCACCGAATGTAATCATACCGTTCAAGTGTTGAGTTTAAAACCTTTTCGACTTAGCTATGGAAAATATGTACGAGCGTGTTTTCAATCTATTGAATGATTGCATATTATACTGTTTTGGAAATAACTCAAGGATTTCAATAAAACATTATAGTTGTCGAAACTGTGTATCACATAGAACTTGTGATTACTATCATGACAAATTACATCATTATAGATGTTCCTCTCTGTACACTGGTATATTTTTTATGGTACTCAAACTACGTTTACGTACGTGCGTACGTTACCTTATGGAAAATGACATAACATTAATATAAGAAATAATAAATATAACTTTTATATAAAAAAGAGACCTCAAAAGTTTGTGAAATGTAATAAACCGGATTTTTTTTTGGGTTTTCCTTTGCCACCCCTAAAGGAACCTGGTGTATTACATTTGGAATATTTTCTTCAAATTTGAATAGGACCAGTGGTACTCCATTTCCAAAAAAAAAGAATCATCGACATATATTTACAAATGTCGGAGTAATCGCATAATATAGACACACAAAAAAATACCCGATTTAGAATTTCCTCCTTTTTTTAGTCGGTTAATTATAAACTTGCTGTTCTTGACAGTCGTCTTCACAAAGTCACAAATTCATTTAAGGGGCAATGTATACGGTTGATTTTCAAACTTTATCATAACTGTACTAATAGTGAAACAAAAACTTCTAAAGATTTATTATATAGCTTCTGCGTACTTGGATAACGAAAATCTATGTTAGTGACCCATTTAGCTCTTGCAAGTCGTTTCGATGTATGAAATAAATATTGTAAATGATAAATGTGTAGGTTAAAATGTTTATTTACAACGAGCAACCCCTAGAGTTTCTTGCTCATTCTTCTCATTCATCTGCCTTGCGAATGACCAGTAGAGTTTAATCAATATGACGATCTCAAGTGTAATTTACTTACCTATAAAATAAACACTTTTACCGCCACCTTAAATATAACATAATAATAATAACGCACACTCAACAAAGTCCCGCACTAGGGAAACTTTGTGTCGCGGGTGCTATGGATACACATAGACAACCACAAATTACACTCAAATTCACGAGAGAAACAAATGTAGGCCATACAAATATTTCTCCTGGCCCGGGAAATGAACCTGGGACCTCTGCGTGGCAGTCCAGCATGGTAACCGTTCGGCCACAGAGGAAGTTTAAAGGTAGGCGTCAACAGATCCGCAGCGCACGCATCGGACGGATCACATTATACGGATTTTAGTATTCTTTTGTATAGAAGTTTATACAACTGCGTCCACTAATCCGCATTGTATGGACCGCACGCACCGGCCTGTCGGTAATGCCGACGCAATTGCTCGGAGGGGCAACTTTTCCGATGCGTGCCGACGACGTCATACGGATTGCGTATCAGTGGACGCACCCAGCGTGCGCGCCGCTGCACCGCGCCAGCCGTCATTTGCTATTTGTTAAGAAGAGTAGCATATTTAGCATGAGACATAGGAAAATCAGGAAATAGCGTATGATATTCTCCACGTTGCGATCTCTTCTTAAATATATCATGTATCCAGATATTGTTTCCTTTTTTTCTTCTGCCAACATATAAGCCACCACGACAAATTGTTCTTCATCACTTTCCAAATCCATTGTCTCGCACACACAAGTTACACTCGTCCGCTCACTACGAAAAGTGGCGTCGGCAACATGGACGCTGCGGATACATGACGCTCGCATTAGTGCGCCGGGATAACAGTTTGGTCAGCGTCTGACGCCTCACGGCGCCCAAGTGACGCGCGAAGCCGCTCGAAGGCTACCAAGGGTCCATAATAATATAATATAAAGGATTCCATATTTGCATAACACAAATTTGTACCTTAATAATTGGAAAATATAGATGAATATGCTATAGGCGAAAACGCGACGCTTCGACTCTG